CGATTTTTTTTGTGGGGTCATATAAAAATATTGTTTATGCGGAGTCCTGTGAAAGCGCAGAAGAAATGAGGCAGCGGATCGAAATGGCGTTTAGTCAAATCACTCGGCAGATGCTTCAAAGAGTAGAGCAGTCTCTGTACCGACGCACGGAAATATGCATATTGCATGGAGGTCGGCATTTTGAACCTTACCTGTAAATGTGTGAAATGTGCCAGCAGTGCGTGTAGTGATTGTACTTATTATTCAAAATTATCGTAAACAAGTCAATATTTCGTACATTGTACAACAGTGAATTACAATTCGTAGGAAATTCATTAAAACGTGTATGAATTGCACAGTAGGTAAGTACCAATTAAAAAAGTATCCACTATTGTAAAATTGTCGTAAATAAATGTATTAATACAAAATTATGTAGAATGTGTATACGATGAAGGCGTGCGTAACTACGGGCTTAATAAGTAAATAAATATCCTTTAAATTGTATGTAAATAAGTACGTACCTAGGTATGGTATAAAATAATATTGTTAGAAATAATTCGATTTTTCTAGGTATTTAAAGATTTTGTTACTTAATATTAACGTGTTATCAACATATTCAAATCATGTTTTTACAGTGGCATTTCAATTGTAGTCAGCTGTTCTTTCGCCCCGCTTGCGGCCGCCCAGGTTTCATTAATGAATTTGTGAAGTCGTAGTAACGTAACTAGCAATAGAGTTGTGACGCAGTGGTTGTTTCGGACAATCACTATTTATACAAACATAATTAAAGTTATATCAACATTAAAAGTCACTTATTTTTATTTGATATTTTGCACAGAGGGTCTAGATCAAGTATAGGTTTGGCTCCTTTAATATGACTACACCTTGCGGTTACACCCTGTATTTAGTGTAAATATTTTAGTATGTACCAAGTTTCACGCACACGTTATGTATCGTACGTATCGTTATGTTACGTATGTTTTGTTTGTTTTGTTTGCGCTCGAGTCCGTGCTTCACTCGTGTCGGGCTTGCTGAAACCAGCACTACAGATCGATTTTCAGCCTGTAGCTAATAGCTGAGCAAGACCCGTTTGCGTGCGCCGCGACCCGCATTTATTATTATCATTTTTTTTATTATTATAATTATGTGTTTAGCTAGAGTATTTCTATGCAATTTAATTTTCTATGTTAACTTTTGCTGTAGGTACATTGTATATTAGTTTGAAGTTTATTATATTTTATTTTAGTTTTAAGATCATGTGTTGTGTGCCTCCGCGCTTATGTAAGAAATTTATGCAATATTCGAAGATTGTTTGTACATAAGATTACGCCTTCACTTCTTTAAATGACTTAAGTTTTCTTGGGTACACGAAAGGAGCCTGCCCGCACGACGTACCTACCACTCCTTTCTTGGACGTCTGGCTCACCCTGCACAACAGTTGGCGAATGCTTTATACCGATTGGCATATAGTAAGTAGCAAATAGTGTATATGTGCCATCGGTACGACAAAAAGAATTTTCTACTTAATCACCTGATCGAAATGTTCTGGGTCATATAGCATAACCATATCAGCTTTCGGGAATATACCTTCCAATCTGACAATAGTACCAAACTCTTTGTGCAATTTTTTGGTAAGGTCTGCAAATGTTTCCGATGAACCAATTTTTCCTGAAAATATAAAGCGCTAATATTATATTATAAATTGGGCTTGATACATATTATTATGGACTTAGGCATTTCTTGTACCGAGGCACAGTACGTATAATAACGCACACACTCAACATAGCCCCGCTCTAGGGAAACCCTGTGTCGCGGGTGCCATGGACACACACATAGACAACCACAAATTACACCCAAACTCACGAGAGAAATAAATGTAAGCCATACAAACATTTCTCCCGGCCCGGGAATCGAACCTGGGACCTCTGCGTGGCAGTCCGGCATGGTAACCGTTCGGCCACGGAGGCAGTTAAAAGTATAGTAGTAGTTAAAAGTATAGTATAGTAGCCATACTCCACCAATCCACATTACTTCGGGTGCAGATTACTGTCAAACAAAACTATTTTTTATATCACCGACTATTTGATAAGTATGCGATCTCTTTTTCATCAAGACCATACGTTCCCAAATTTTTTGGCTCCCCTTCCACTTAGGCAAGATAAAAAAATTCAAGTCAATAAAATCACAAGAAAAACATTTACATATATGTAGTATAATTTATATAGATAATGCAGCTTTTTTCAAAAGCGATAGCACGCCCTGGACCAACTCGCCCCAATTGCTTTCGAGGCCCCTTACCTCCTAGGACTCTTCAGCGCCCACTGGGGGCGGTAAGGACCAGTTTGGGAAACTATGATCAAAACGAAAAAAATTGAGCGCGCATTTGCCGACCGAGAGTATTACTATACAGAATGTTATCTACCAATAATATAATCATTTTGAAAGTAAACAGATATAATAATATGAATATAAAAAGTATTTTAGTACAAAACAAAAAGTATTTTAATACACTTTTATGGGTAAGTATCTATGTATCTAACGCTTTTTTAAATAATAATAACGCGCACACTCAACATAGTCGCGCACTAGGGAAACCCTGGGTCGCGGGTGCCATGAACACACACATATACAACCACAAATTACACCCAAACTCACAAGAGAAATGTAGGCCATTCAAATATTTCACCCGTCACGGGAATCGAACCTTTTTTTTTTTCTTGACGGGGGGAAATCTTTATGGATACCCCTGAGCCCAGGGAGACTCAGGGGTTATGTGGGGACTCTCCCTCCAGACTGGAGGGCCTACCCCACTAAAACCCCCCCGGGTTTCCCTCTCGCCGGTTGAGTCGGCGCCGTGGGATCAGTGAACATTCACCACGACGTCGCCCGGCCGCCCTAGCTTACGCCAGGGCTCCCGCGCCAACGGAGGGGCGAGTCGGATGTCCTCCGACCCGGCCCCCAGACGAGTGAGGCCGTGCAATGCAGGCTCCGGACTCCCTGTCCAGAGCCCGCTGGTTACGGGAATCGAACCTGCGACCTCTGCGTGGCAATCATAGCAAGGCATGGTAACCGTTCAGCCACGAAGGCAGTTGCTGGCCAGGATGTTAACTAAATTAGTTAAAATTCTGGTATCAGATACAATTTAGTTACTTTTCACCTAATTTTGCCATTGTCTACGCTGACTACTTAAAGATAGACTTTTCTTCCGTTTTTAAATATGATCAAGTCGGACACTCCGTTTCCTGGGTGATGTCTTTGGCGAGAGTCGCAGTTGTGCGAAATACTAAGAAAGTATGTACCGTTTTGTTATGATTTTGTACTATAAAATTATTTTCTGGCAGCGGGCAATGCTTTGACGAAAAGTCCGACTTGAAAACTGAACATGGCGCGAAAAGCAGTGAATGAGCACCACAAACCTATTACAGGCAGGAAGTGATGTAATCCGCCGATAATTGGCAAAGGGCCTAATCCAGGAATTGCGCTGAAAGGCTTTGGTTGCTCTGAGGTGGTTGATAATGTTCGATTATGTATACTGTAAACGAAAAAATACCTACATATCTGCATGAAAGTATCGTACCATTTATCGAGAAAATTAAAAATGTGTCTTATCATAATGCATCGATGTATTAAAGTTATAAGCTACTTATTTAAGAGAGAAATGATATAAGAATGCGCTATGTATTATTATATACATATTCATACAAATAATGGAAATCAGACATTCACTGATTTTTTCCTTATACTTCCTTCTAAACTGATATAACTATAATTACCTAACAATTGAAGGTGAGAAACAACCATGAAACAACAATTTGATTAATGTTTTTAATAAATTATCCGCTAAAGTACGTACATGTTTAAAAATTATTATTGATTTTACATACCGATTAACACACTGAAGAATCACTGGGAGTGAATTACGATTGAAATAACTTTGAACTCTCATTATTTTAATCATTGTTTTTGCAGATATCCTATCCTTGACACGGCCTTGTACATACTAAAATGAAGTGACCAAAATAAATCTATTTATAATACGTAGTTATCTGTTGATGTCATACAATTTGTTCGACGTTATACAGGCAGTGCATACAGTGACTACGTACCTATCTATGTATATCGACATCTTATTGCCAAGCGTGATAAAAACACAACAATCATGTTGTGCGGTTTGTACATTGTAGGTGAAACACACTTTAGCACACATGTTGGACTACTACCTATATTAGTATCCTGAGTTATTTATTACTCGTAAAAAACTACAAAAAGAAGTTTGTTACTTTTTATTACTGTATTTCCATAATTTTCCTAAGGCTGACTATTTATCATGTTGATTATTTTTGACAAATAATACCTAGTAATAGTACCTAGCTGCTTATTAAGTGATATTTTGATTTTTACCTTGTTTTTATTAACATAACAGAAAATAAATAAAAATAGCCTTGCCTTTTTTATGATACTAAGTAACGGAACGCACAAGTGCGCCTGATTTTAAGCCACATTCCTGTCAATGACAGTTGCAGTTGCAGGACCAGTAATTTCACCATCACCCTTACCCTTCAAAACTGGAAGGCAGTAATGCATTACTGCTTGGCGGCAGAAATAAGCAAGGTGGCAGTAATTCCCTGGACGAACTCTTTCACAAGGTGCTGTACTACTACGAAGTGTTTCTACGTCTTTGGTCCTTCCCAACTGGAGACTACGGACTGCCCGGTAAGACCAGGGTACGGAAGGCGTTCGGACCAAACCCTTCGACAGTGATACGCCTTTACGGGCGTCTCTGGTGGATTCGGACTTGGGTATGGACTCTCTTGGATGTGGTTAGCTGCAGAGACGGTCATCTGTTCTGGTGGTGTGTGGCCGGGGCATCTGTCCCGTGCACAACTTTCACGTCTTAGTTGCTGTCTAGACGAGGGCGTAAGGCAATGAGACGCACGGGGCACGTCAGTTGCCCTTTAAGTTAGAGTCTATGTCCGGACATTGTCACAGGACACTGCCCGAAGAGCTAGTAGCCGCGTAGATTTTTGAGAACTGGAGAGACGCTACGGTGTCGGGATGTGAGCTCCGCCAGCATAGAGGAGATTTGGTAGGGGACTCAGGGTCATATTGTAGAACTCTACTCAATGTTCAAGTCAGGATTTGAGTATGATTTAAAGCACTCGAAATCATACTCAAGTCCCTGCCATTAGAGTCGTATTTCCAGTGCTTGTGTTTCCTAAGAAATCCTGACTTGAGCATTGAGTAGAGTTCTAGAATACGACCCTTAGAGTAAAATGGCTTAGCGGTGAGAACCGTTAGTTCTGCAATGCACAACGTGCGCGTTCCTACAGCTCCGGTACCTATCTGGAAAATAGGGAGGGTACTGTACGTGCACCCGGGGCTGCTCACTCGAAGGCACTAGCCTCTTGAGAACCGGATGAAGTCAGTGACGTCGGTCTGTGACAACCCAGTACACTGGCTGATTTGGGTTCAGGGTCTGAACATAGAAGGTCCTTGTGTGTGCACAGGTTACATAAGTGCTCATCTCGAATACCCTAAGACTTGGTAGAGATATAATCAAAAGTTATGTAAAAAGGTACGACGGCTAGTCCTTCCCAACTAACTTGTGCAGTACCTACATTAATCAAACTTTGTAATACGTCAATCTGCTACTCTGCTATGCGTTATCCAATACAGCTTCTTACTATTGTAAGTCTCCCTATTTGGCATTCCAAATCCAAATGGTTGTGTAATCATAGGGTGTGCGTTTGTACAGTACATACCTACAAATGATCAGTCTTACTTATCTGGTAACTACGCTTTTGACATAAATTCGGATGCTCGAGGATAGCGTTTGCGTAATTTCTATAAGTTTTCATTTGACACCATTACATCAATGTGTACAAAGGTATTATATAATATCGAATTTTCTTTTATGAGGCCAAGTGACGGGATGAACAAGTCGTGCTCAAGGTGATAAGCGACACGCCTACCCAACAGATGCCAAGATGCTGTCCCTCAACCTTGCTTTACATAGCAAAGATCTGAGGGGCATTGCCACTGCACCCGTCACACTGAGACAAAGTTGACAAGTCCCATTGTGTGTCCAGTTTTGCCAGCACACATACCAACTGGAACATAGTAATGCTTACATTACTGTTTGATGATAGACATGGGTATGATGGCAATACTTCCTTGCACGACCTGTCACAAGAAGCTCTACAAAATTACTCTACTTAATTGCATTTTTTGAAAATGTTTTATAGATAGTAAAAAAAGAGATACTTGTTGACTTCTTACTGTTCTTTGCAGAAAATACAAGGTAGGTACATTACAAGTCTTGCCTACTTCTTTATACATCAAATAACCACCCACAGTATGCTCTCTTGTCGTCTATCGTAAGCCATCAGATTTAACAGCATTCATATTTCAAAGGCGGTAAGGGCAAGAAACATTTCAAGTTGCTACTGTGCTTTGCAACACTTATTCAATTATTTCTGCATTACCTACGTATGATAAGTTGATAACGTTACTAAAATCTGTTGCTGTCTTAAGAACATTATCCTTTAAGGTCGCTGTAGCTCTGGTGATGTTTACGGTTTTATTGCCAACATATAATATTAAATAATAATAAATATAAAAGTATATAATAAAATATATTTCATTTATACCCAAACTTAATAATATTGCAAAGCAAAGGGTAATTAGCCAGGCTCAGATGAGCCCAAAAAAATGCTGTTTTTTTTTTATTAATAATTGTGGCTGGGATACAAGTCCTTTGAGCCATGTCTTCGTTTAATTATATTTCTGTAAATATGGCCGCCACAAAGAGAATAGGCAATTTGAGGCGGCGTGCTTGGATTGACTCGCGATTCCTTATAACGGGCCGATACGGGTATTTTAGTTCGAGATTCGTATAATTTCGCGTTTTAATCTTCGATTAAGGCACAATAGCACTATCCTATTCCACCTTAAACTAGATTTCACAAAATAATTGAACGTCTAAATAAAAACGACACTTTACCCTCCAAAAGGCCCAGAGCGAATCGCACATGAATGAATCACGCATTTCCAAGATAGGGATGAACGTGTCACATTCTGTAAAGAATCATTAAAATGAGTGATTCAGTTGTATTATTTACAATTACGGTACGCAGCTTGAAGTTAGTTCGGTTAGTTCTGTTGGTACTACTGCACTTTGACAGTCGTTCGTTGTTTTGGTGGGGTTAATGGTCGACTCAAGGCACTTTTGTTAAAAATATTTGGACAAAATAGCTATAAAAATATGTGAGAACTAATAATAGAACTGTTCAAACGCCTTACCACTACAGTGTTTTGGTAATCCCTGCTGTAGTTATGTTAAATTACCTACGAAAACGACGTAACGAGTAATGTTTCTTTGTGATGAAAATAGTTTTCCTATAACATATCGATCGATTACGAAAGAACATTTTCTTTACTTTGTTTTGTAAATCAGCGGTAATGGTTATTTTTGTGGAACGTGTAAGAAATATGCGCGCGTCAGAAACTAATTTTTAGTACACAAATGAGACTAAGTAGAAAAAGTGCTAACGTGTTAAATACACCTAATTTGTTTACCCTTACAGTTCACTTTGTGTATTCACGGGTTGTATTACTTAATAAAGCAGTAAAACTTAACTCTACGCCTATAATGAGATAAACACGAGGTGTGTATCTCGATCCATCCCGAGGCCACTTCCATGTATTGTTGCTCTTTTCTGTAAGTATTTGGAACTTATTATTTGCTTGAGAAATTATTACTCTTTTTAACAATATCTTTTTAATTGTGTACTTTTGATTTCTATAATTATCTTTCAATTATAACTCATAATTAATAGTTTTCTTTGAAATTTTTATTTTTTACTTAAATCAATTTTAACAATTAGGTAGCTATAACTGTTTATTATTTTACAGCGAATATACTACTAAATATATCTTAAGTACATATAGTAATAAGACGGTGGATTGTAAAGTAAGCTTAAACTCAGACTTCTGCTTACTATAGCAGTTATGGTTGTGACATTTGGGGTCATTGAACTTTGTTCAAGTGTATGACAGTTTTGGGCTTCTTCCCTTATCTTTATCTATGTAGGTATATCTTATCTACACATGTTTTACAATGTCTTATAAAACTTTTGATGACATTTTCAACAAAATAAAACAAGTTTTGTAATAAATTACATCACAATCACCTGTATGTCGAATTAGACAAAAATAGTGGATTTTAAGGTGGGTTAATTTTTCACCATTTATAATTTTTAACAAGTACAGGCAACAGCAGATTAAGCTACACATTGACATATCTTATTCTGTTGCACTGGAAGCAATTATCAAACAAAAATGTTTAATGTATTATTGACTGTAAATATCATTCAAAAGCCATAAAGTACTTGACACATTAACATTATGTGAAGGTAGTTGTAGGTGGTAACCTTCATTAACAAGTACATAATTGCATATTCTAGAAGTTAGTAATAATAACAATTTTTAGTCAACAGAATTATGGATTATTCCTCCTTTAATGTAAAAAAGGTTGATTCTTATGTCAGCTTATTTTCATTCACAAATTTCAGTATCTTCGTAATAGTAATAAACTCCGGAAAAACATTTTTTTTTTGTTGAAAATGAAAGTTGGTATCATTAAGTAATACATAATAATCAAACAATGCGCTAATTACATTCATCATTCAATTGTAGCAGGGACATAAATCAGACAGTTCTGCCACAATTGGTGAATCACACTAATGACACAGAGGCAATGTTCACATTATCTCAAATTAGCATAGGGATAGCTGGTGGCAGTTTGTAATTGTTTTGAATTTGCTTGTAATTAGTGAGATTTTTATTTTGTCTCTTTATGATGATAAATAATATAAATATTGCAATGTTAGTTTTTAGCCGTGAAATGTACCAAGTAGCATTGATGTTTATTTGGCTCCAAAGTTTTATCAGTGAAAGAATAGTATATAGTTATTAAAATAAATAAAAAAGGGAATGTGGCGATTTGGACTCAATAAAGAGCATGAAACACAGAGGAGAGTATTTATTTGCTTGACTGTGTGCAGTGAACTGAGTTGGCTATGTTACATGCTAACTGGTATGAGAAGCTCATAACTTGTAGCTTTATTGGCTGAATAACATTCAAACTACTCATATGGTAAATTGGTTAGGTGTTTTGCACAAATGTATTCAAATTATATGAGATAATATAATTATGTAATAGATATTATGCCATTGCGAAGATGCCAACATGAAAAATTATCCTATATAATCTGCCAGACGACCACACCAATTATCTGGTCTCCAACTAGAGAATTCCTTATACTATGAGTAACCAGAGCAACAGCATTCACCAAGAACACGCTGACCAAAACCAATTCAGTGAAAATCATTTCCTGAAATCGTTCTACCAGACATCGAATCTGGGTCCTCCTCATCTAGCGTTTACGAGAAAGCCATTGGGCTATTGAGGTTGTCTAATATTTATTTCCCGTAATCACCTATGCCCTTCATCCTTGTAAAGGCTCATAAATATTTTTACAACTGGGAAAGGTGCTATATGTCAAAATACAAAACTTCCTATCCAGTTCATCTATAGTGGCTTCATCTATTTGAATGGTGCATTCCAGCCAGCAATAAGATCAATGAAGTATTGTAATGATATACATTTTTCTCTGAATAAGTTTTTTGTTATTATTCTTTTGAATGTCATTATTGTTGGCATTATTTTTCCATGTCAGACCTCTCAAGTTACGTTTGCCAGCATTTCTTACAATACTGCAGCTTGATATATAATATATGTCATCAGCCTTTCACAGTCCACCACACAGCCCTCAGCTTGTCGCATTCATGTGCTGCCAGCAGCCTTCCACAGAATGTTACTTCCATCTGGCCAGAGAGCATTCTACACTACGTGTGTCAAGCCGTGTTCTTCACTTAAGCACTTGTTTCCCGCATTGGTTATCGGTTCTGCGACAGATATTGCCAGCCCATTGCTACTTCATCTTGCTTATTGTGGTGGAATGTCGACGACGTTGGTTCTCTATCAGATAAACTAATTTCGAATTCTTCAGAGAAACTTCAAGCATATTGGATATGATATTACTAATAGTAAAATGCAATTAATGTATTTCCCTAAACAAAAATCTGCTCTTTGTACACAACAAATCTGTATTAACTAAAGGGCATCAGGTTACAATAATAATTGCAAAATAGATAACAAGGTACACAAGTTTCATGTTTTAATCAGATTGGTCTATTGCTACAGCACAGAGAATACTATAATTTGATTGTTTGCCACACTTAAATAATCGTGATTATGACTGAGTCATTCTATGAACACTTTTTATTAACGTTGTTACGTGACACAGTTTTAAATTAGGTATGATTACTGTGATGTATTTTTTTATTAACAAACATTTAGTATACGCATGTTTCATTTTCTACACCTAAACATTTAGTTTGCACGTTATTTATACATACATACATATCGACATCAGAAGTATCAAAATTAAAGTAAGGGATAAACTACGGTTTTTCAGGAGAGCCAACGATTTTATTTTTTTAAATCTGTATAAAACTTTTTACAGTCTGCTCCAATTTTGATTGTGTCTAGAGCAAAGTTTCTTATAATATCCTCTTCTTTCATGCTATAAACGAAATATTTCGGAATGCCCAGCGGTTTAAAATATAGCATGTCCCTTACATTTAAAAAAGGCACAACTAAACATTAGTTGTGCCTTACATTACTCATATTTTATGTGTAAACCGTCGAGCATAGTGTAAGCAGTAAGAGAAATAGAAAATTTTACGTAATTCTATTGTAAAGGATCCTTTACTGCTTACATAGTGTAATCAGTAAAGGATCGACGGTTTACACATAAAATATTAGTAACGTAAGGCATAACTAAACCATCTTTTTAAAATGTTTTTAATGTAAGGGTCACGCAATATTTTAAACCACTGGGCATTCCATAATTTTAATAATACCAATCGATAGAGCGGGAAATAAAAAATATATGTAACTCATTATCGACAAAATGTCCCTTACGTTAATTGATACTTCTGGTATCGGTGTGTTGTATCTGAATCATTTAGAAATTGTTTCCTTGTTTGTTTTTTCTTTTTTATTGAGTTACATATTTCGACATTTAATTATTATATTAAGTTTATTGAATATCACGATGTTTTAGTACCATGATGTTCAATTACTTTTTGTGAAATTACTCCTCTAGTTTATTATAATAATAAACTAATAAATAAATAAACTATAAAATACCTATAGGTAATTATTAATACAAAGACCGAACACTAAGAAAAATTCCATCGATCCGGCTGGAAGCACTGTTAATTTAACTTTAGCTATGCCTTTTTTATCAAATGTAACATTATGGTAAATGCAATAAATAATTGAATTAAACCAGCGCCTTCAGCATACCGTGCGTGATCTTTGTATTAATAATTTAACTTTTATTAAAATTATAATTATTTTTGAACCGCATTCTTTATTAAATCTAGTATATATGTGTATAATATATTCGCTACACATATACTTCATTATCGAACATAAATACTAACATTACAGGTTAGCTTGTATTATTGAATTTACCTATTTTATCTTCACTAATTTCTTTAATTTACAGCAGGCACACACAACGAACAAAACTGTTGGCTGACTTCCTGATTTCCTTTTTTTTTTCCTTACAGTTACTAACTACTTGTAATTAATTATTTGTATGCTTGACATTTTATAATTTATTTATTGCCTTTGTTTCTAAATAGTTCCAATAAAAGTTCGATTCTGTGTGCCCGTGGCACTAAACTTTCATCTGGCTTAATATCCCATTCTGTTTTGCGTGCATTTTGAACACTATACCAACATTGACGCGGGCGTTTGTAATGCACAGTTCACGGCTGGGCGTCGGCATGGCGAGCATGAGCTCCACGCTCGTCGAGACCGTCTCCATCAACTACGAGGACTTTAACGAGAGCTTCCTCACCTGCGGCACCTGTCTGTGTTAGTACACTTTGTTTTACATTTACGTGCTACGCTGACGACGTTCTTTTTTCAACGGCTAGTTTTTAAAACCTAATCGGAGCTTCCCCGTCGAGAGTACATAATATTATCTGATAACTCCGTGCGCTAAAATAACGCCGTCTGCTATTCATTTTTAAACCTGCCTCCGTGGCCGAACAGTTACCATGCTGGAGTGCTACGCAAAGGTCCCAGGTTCGATTCTCGCGCCCGGAGAAAAATTTGTATATCCTACATTTATTTCTCTCGTGAGTGAGGGTGTAATTTGTGGTTGTCTATGCACGGCTAGTGCGGGGCTTTGAGTATGTGTGCGTTATTTTCATCATGAAAAGATGATCCAACCTACTGCAACTCAGAGATGTATTTATACTATCCGGTTTTTGGTTCCTTGTTTTTTGGTTCGTTGTTTCTTTACAAGAGTCGAAGGAACTATGTAGTATTAAAAAGGAATTACATTAAGCGCGTTTTTGCTAATTATTTTTAATTTTGTAATTTGAATTTGAATATGAAATTGACCAAAAAAAATGTAGGTGTTAAAAAAATTTAAAACCTGATTTTCAGTAAATGGTACTAACTTGCTTTTTTTTCTTAATGAATGGCTTGTGAGACTAATTTATTGTCTCAATTCTGCCAGTGTCCGTTACGTGTTAGTTTCGTAAACGTTATAGAAGGAGTGTATATATAGAAAGTATGTTTGGTGAATCACAGGGAGGTATCGAAGAGATTTTTGCACAAGTTGATCCCTAGAACAAAAGAGACAACAAAAATTAGACAACACAAAATGTTAGAATAATATTATATATATTTAAGTACAAATATAGTGTTAATATACGAATCATATTTACAATTTAATGTGATTCACATGTATAAATTCATAGAGAATATGATACATTTTTGGGTGAGAGGACAGAAACAAAAGGCATGTAATGCAAGTATACTAACTTGCTTGATCCCTAGAGACTTTTGATATGTATATTTTGACAAAACGTCTTTTAGAGCTATACATCAATTTGAACTACCCGTTATTTTTAAAAACTGTAAATTTATATGAAATTTAAACAACGTAAACTACAATTTTCAAAAAGAATTTTGATAAGGTTTACAAATCTATCTGTAGCCCCGTAGTGTACTGAAACAAATCAAAAGAACTGAGACAAATCTTTCACTTCCCATAGCTCTATCGGACATTTTTATGATGATTTAATGATTTAATGATATTGTAATTCACTTCATTGAAGTCCACTTTTATTGTCAGTGTATATAAATGTTCGCTGCTTTTCAAGATTTTTTTATACCCCCGCACTACTACACACATAGAGAATCACAAATTACACCCAAACTCACGAGATAAATAAATGTAGGCCATACAAATATTTTGGCCGGCACCCGGGAATCGAACCCGGAACCTTTGCATAGCAGGCCAGTACGGTAACCGTTGGGTTACGGATACAGTAGTGCTTTTCAAGAAGAGTGGAACCAAATTAGCCTGATTCACTGGAGTCTATTGTTATCAATCCGTAAATAACTTAAATTAATGCTTACTTTGCAAAAATGAAAGTCGTAGCCATTGAAATAAGTAATAACGTTTAAACCCATTCCTGTAAAATTTGATCACGTGAAGATACACGCTTTTTGCCAATGCCACATACGCGCCCTTGCACTATCCCCGACGATATTTAGAATTTATTTTAAATTTATAATAAAAACTAGAAATCTGCAACATTCGAAAATAAATGTAGTTACATTTCCGATGACTAAGACTTATTCCATTCTATTTAATATCAACAACACTCTTTAAACAAACTTTGGGTAATCTGCACTATGTTTACGTTCCGTAGAAACTTAGATCTGCTGATTCTTGTATATGCACAGGAAGTCTAAAAATATATGCGCCAATTTTATGCAAAGCTTCTGCTTCGTACAGTCACTGGCACATTTAACTCAATCAGTAACCCACTTCGTTAGTTGAAACATTTGAGTTAAACGGATTTTAACTAGTAAAGTGAAATCGCAACATGATACGTAATTATAGACATTCACTATAAACATGTCACATTGTATACCACTTACTTAATAATCATTGCACTCGTGGCTTTCAGTTTATAGTTATTAATACTGTGTAACTGTCAAATGTACGTTATTTTCCTGGTTCAGAATATGCATCATATTTATCTAAACGTTAGGTAGTACTTTGCCTTCAAAAAGGCAAAGGTAAAAACAAAATATAGCGCAAGTGTCATAACGGACCAAGATGTCTAAAGAAAATCTTAGCGGAAACAAAAACTAAAGCGGATGCAGAAGCGGAAGTATAAATACTATAGAGATCACAACGAAATAGTTCCAAACAAGATTTGTTTTTGGTTTCACAATTTATACTTATTATAAATTTCACTTAACGCAACACAGCGTTGTACGTTGTAAACTTGCGATTGAAGTTCCGTTTTAAAAGTCGCGGAAGCAGAAATGGAGACAGTTGTGAAAAAGGCTCGTTGCCTCATTAATTTTTACTTGCAAAAAGTGTAGAACTTTTCTAAATAAAGTAGTAAAGTGATTGCTAGTTACGACACATTAAATATATAAAACGAAATGCAATAAATCAAGGATTTCAGAGGGAGGTTTTATCGATGTGTATTACTACCTTGAAGTTTAGGTAAATATGATGCCTATTCTGTCTCTGTCTATGTCAATATCTGGTGAATTCTTTATTTATTTATTGCATATCCATATTACAGGTCTGTTATTAAAAACAAAGGTTTGACGGGTTATAGTGAAATTCCGCTCTAGTAAATCAACAATAAAATGTTATGAGACGTAATCTTGTATGATGTGATTTTATCTTTACCCTATATGATAATACTTTTGATAATTTATTTCTAGACTTGTTCAATGAATCAGACCTCTTCCTATAGTAACCAAATTATCGCCAACATTGACTATCGTCTTGAAAGTACTGGATCCTGGTCCTTTGATAAACTCGTCTGCCAAGATGCATACAAATGCATGCCATAAAACTTGTGTATAGTCACGAAACTACATAGCATGAATATCAATAAGTATAAAGTACATCTGATGTACGCAACGGATCAGTTTTCCGGTTCAAAGATTTCCTACATAAATCACATAATGTTATTATTAATACAAAGATCGAACACAAAGAAAAATTCCTTCGACCCGACTATAACCTGCGATCATACTGTACCGAAGTGTCGCTCTGCCAACTGAATTACTGGTTGAGTTAGCTGGTCGAACAAATTATTCTAAATGTCTGTTATAGATCTTTTGAAAACCGAAAAAACCCAATACAAATCTATAAAAGACACAGAAAAATTTCATCTACCTGCTAATTCGACCTGTAGCTTAGGTTGGCAGAGCGGCGTCACGGTACCGTGTGGTCTCAGGTTCAACTCTTGTCGGTTCGAAGGAATTTTTGTTTGTATTCAATATTTATATTAGTAATTATAACAAACAAGTGGAGTTATTTCACAAAAAGTGGTGAAATATCGTGAAATTCAATTTAAAAAAACCACGTAAAACAAACAAATTCTATGTCTTAAATTTTACAGGCACTTATGATGGTGGAGAACATACGCCGAAGCTGTTACCGTGCTCGCATACAGTTTGTTTGCATTGCCTCACTCGAATAGCCGCCTCACAAACGAGAGACGCTGGTAGTTTCCGATGCCCAATTTGCCGCGAACTAATAACCATACCGCGGGGTGGAGTGCCAGCGCTACCGCCATCCTTCCTCGTCAACCAGCTGCTAGACTTAATGGCACGACAACGTAGGGAAGTAATACCCCAGTGCAGTTCACATCCTGGAAGAGAGTTGCTGTTTTGCGAGACCTGCGATTGCGTATTCTGCAGGCATTGTGCGGACGGACCACACAGCGACACACCGTGCGACCATACCGTCGTGCCATTTTCTATAGCTTTAAAAAGAATGTCCGAGATACTTTTATATAGAGCAAACGAATGCCTCAGTAAATTGGGTTCAGCGCGGGAAGCGGTAGCCAGTGAACTGAGGAGATTAGAAGCCGCTGCAACGGCTGCGGAGGAGGCCATAGATAGACATTTCGCAGAGTTGAAAGCAGCGCTAGATAAACGCCATAGCGAACTGAAGTCTGCGGCTGCGGCCGCCGCCACTCACAAGCGGAAATTACTCGAGGAACAGTTGAAGTTAATTGACGCTGAGAAAAGTAAAGTAAGTTAATTTTTTAGTAATATTTGTTCTTTGGTTTATTTTACCTAATACAAAACGATAGCCCCAATGAACACTACGCCAACTTTATTTTTGGTTAGTTTTTGTTGTTTATGTAAAGAGCCATATTTATTTAGTAATATTATGCTCTCCGAATTGTGTGAAAAAAAATAATAATAACAAAACAAAAACGAAATTGAAAAATAAAAATAGAATAGGTCCAAAAATTAAGTTGGTGTAGTGTTCGTTGGAGGTATAATTTTAACTTAATTTTAAGTTCACACATATTTTAATGAAAGTATAAGTATTTTGATATTTTGCAAACAAAACGTTGACCCATCAAATGCTTCAAACTTCACCAAGGGGTGCGCAGAATGCAAGAGTCGGGTACTTTGTCGAACAATTGTTTGATTCTAATCTATTTACTTATTCACAGATCTACTTATCCATCGATGAATACTTAACAGATGTTAAGTGACTGTTAACACACATAAATTAAGAGTCTATACTACCTCAAATGGCTTTGGTTGATTCCGCATAATAGCGAAAGTGTTGAATCAATCAAACAATCACTTTGGAAAAAATATATAGTAAAATTGAGGATATACGAACTGATTACTATACGGCGTGAAAACACGACTCCTACAAATTTTCACGATACAAAACTTACCCCGAAATTTTACAAGAAAACCGCTGTATCCAATACGTACTTTACATATACCAATGATTTTTTTTTTATATCAACTGAACAAAATAGAAAACGCGTAGGTACATTTTTCATGTGGCTTTAATTTCGTTTGTAAAAAAAATTTCTGAAATAAAGCCAGCGTCCCTGCCGTTCGACTCACGCTGGATTTTAATCTTTAATTGATTTATGGGATGCCTATGTTACTTTGACAGGTGGAAGCAGAGTGTTCGGGTCTCCAGCAACAAGTGGAAGTTAGGGAGGTGAGCAGCCGTGCAGCCGCGCTCGGCGCAAGATTAGGCGACGCAGCCGCATTAGCGGAACCACGCGAGAACGCCTTTCTCGCGGTCGACTTCGCTCACAATGACGCACAGCTGCGATTCGCCGAAGCTTTGGTGACATTAGGCCGAGTAAGGACTAGTACAACTTTCCCTGGGCTATGTACGCTTCAGTTAGGTAAGTTTACGACCAATGACCACTTATAAGTTGTACTGTTTCTGTAGCTGGACTGTTACGACTGTAAGAAATTAACGTAATTGGGAGGGGTTTATTCATAAATCTAAAATTTTGTATACGTAGAGACGCTACTGTTCATCTCCCAGGTGTATTTCTAAGTTTTACAAAACCATCTGGAAGATAAGAATTAATGGTAACTAAAGTCACACGCATATTTAGTTATATTATACAGGTATATATAAAAAGCAATATCGAGTTCTTAGGTATATGAAAATTTTTCTTCGGGTATTTGTTTGTTCAAACAATCCATCGTTTCGGGCCCTTTACAAGTCCCATTTACATCCGAAGAAGTTATGTATTTCCAATGCATGATTTGTGTATCACATCATCTACCCATTATACGCCCCACTACTGGGCATGGGATTCCGTTAAGGAGAAGGTTAACACCACTGTCGGCCACGCTGGCCTAATGCGTTTTTGGGGACTTCCCATGTTTTCCAAGGCTTGTGATCCTTCATTGTTTTATCACGATGTTATTCCTTCAAGAGTTATAGCTTCTAAACATTTCGCACCTTTAAATGTACGTAACTTAGTCCTAGCCTTAGCGAAAGGAAAAGCTCGGTCTACATAATTTATTTAAAACTAGTACTAAAATGGTAGTAAAAAATACATGAAAAGTAAATTAGTATAAAACATTCCATACTAAACACAATCCGGACAATACTCACCCCAGAGTGAGGTGAGTATTGCTCACCCCAAAAAGGGCTATATATCTATGTCATTTATCAGTAAATCACGTGAAGTTTGGAATTAAATGAGGGTGATGATTTATAAGCACGTCCTCTCGTTTTGAGAATTTTGATGAGAGTGACGATGCAACGAATCAACGTAAGAATAGTGAAGGAACTTTTTCCTTCATTATTCTTATTCGTTCTCGAATTCCAAATTTTAAAAATAAGTGGCCGGAACCATTAAACCGGAGGACCAGTTAAGTGGATGATAAAATGGTGAGATGACGATGAACTATATATGCATAGGTTCATGCTACCACGGGAACCTCTCAATGAGAAGCAACAGTTCACACACTGGGTTACCCACCCACCCCAAAAATGTACTTACTAAGTATACGTTTCTTTTTTCCAGAATCCTCGTGTGTATGCGGACTGGAAGTTGTAGTGACTCTCCGCACGGTGGATTACCACGGCGAAGCACGCAGTACAGGTGGAGACCCTGTCAGTGCGGCTGCCACACTCGATGACGCACCATTAACCTGCACTGTTGTTGATCTTGACTCTGGACTCTATAGGTATGTTGCAAAGTAACGGTTTTGACATTTTAGTATACAGGGTAAATGGTTAGGTTAATTAGTATCGCACGAAACAAAATCATTGTGAATGGAAAGAAGTTTTAAATTCGCAATAAAAATATTTGCTTTGAAAAGTAAATAATAATAAATAAATAAATAAATAAATAACGCACACACTCAACATAGCCCCGCACTAGGGAAACCCTGTGTCGCGGGCGCCATGGACACACACATAGACCACAAACTACACCCAAACTCACGAGAGAAATAAATGTACGCCATACAAACATTTCTCCCGGCCCGGGAATCGAACCTGGGACCTCTGCGTGGCAGTCCGGCATGGTAACCGTTCGGCCACGGAGGCAGTTAAATAAAATAAAATACCTACTTAAAAAATATGGGTTTTTTAAACAACTTCAAGAAAAGGAGAAGGTTCTCAATTCGACTGTATTTTTTTCTATGTATGTTACCAGATAACTAATTTGTGAACCGATTTTGATGTTTCGTTTTTATTGGAAAGAGGATACTTCAGCATTGGTCCCACATTCGAAGAAAATATTCCATGTATCCGGTTTCGCGCACTTTCCGGTAACCTATTTCAATAAAACTTGGCAAATAGATGTAATTCCACGAACTTTTGAGGTCACATTTTACAGTACTCTAATAATAATAATAATAACGCACACACTCAACATAGGCCCGCACTAGAGAAACCCTGTGTCGCGGGTGCCATGGACACACACATAGACAATCACAAATTACACCCATACTTACGAGAGAAATAAATGTAGGCCATACAAATATTTCTTCCGGCCCGGGAATCGAACCTGGGACCTCCGCGTGGTAGTCTGGCATGGTAACCGTTCGGTCACGGAGGCAGTTCTCTCTGTACTCTGTACTGCGATTGTTTGAAAAGCAAGTTGTATTAAAATATAAAATTGCAGATAATAATCTGGACGATTTGTATGGAGAAATAAAAATATATGTATATTCAGATTTTTTTGATTATTTAATTTTGTGGCCCCTTTAAAGTAAGTTATATCTTATAATTTGTGGTAAAATGTCATATTGTAGAGTCTATCTATCAATCATAGCGAAGGAAGATCCTCGTGAGAAAGGGCGCGATCTTGGTTGACCAGTCCAAATTATAATGATCCGCATACCGTACCTATTCCAGCAAGATTATCACATGTTTTTTACCACTTACCGTAGTTCGAATAGGTTAGTATGGTATGGAGCGTATAACCATTCCGAAACATCGGATTAACAAGAAGTCATACTATGGTCAGAAAACTGTAACCTATAAATAAAACTGTACAAACTAACTGTAAAACTGTACAACTGTGTCAGAAAACTGTAACCCGTAAATAAATTATACTAACTAAGAAACACCCGTTAAGATATTTACTTTTATTATGGGTATATAATTTTTTTTTTTTTCGGAAGGTCACTGAACGTCAAAAAAAAATGTTTTTGCCTGTATTTTCCGAAATATGTGAAACTTCCCTTTGGAAAAAATACTAATTGACTGTCTATTTAAACTTTATTAAATGTGAAAATCGTAAGTCCTTAAGCGCACAAAAAAGGGAGAAAAAAAAATATTTTCTTAATTTTAAAAATATATTTATATAAAATACCGTAACCGTACTAAATTAGCATTTTCTTTTACCTTCAAAATATACTTCATTAATGTAATCTATCGAATAAAGAAAAAGGAAACGTTTATTTTGGAAGATCTCGGAGATACCGCGTTTCTTAAGTTTTTTTAAATTTCTATGGAAATAGGGTTCTCACAAAATGTATAAATTTTTAGCCGATTACGTGAATCAATGGCGGGTTATGTGTTAAAACAACAATAATAATATATTTATTTCGAATATAAATAGACTTATACGTGGTAGTAGATACAAAGATGTGAACTTATTTAAGTGTTAGTTAATATAACATTTTATTTATACATGTGGGAGCTTTAGTAGCCCACAACAATTCAAATTCCTTTATGAGGCTCAGATAGCTCAGTCCATATGGTACATTAATTAAATTTTTACACTTTTAAGTTACGTTAGTTTAATTTAAAATCAAGTGAAATAAATTAAATTGAATCAATTATATCAAATATAATTTAAAACAATCTACGTTACATAGTATTGGCATATTTTGTTATAATATTCACGTATGTGCATTACGTTGTGTGAATAAGGATAAATTATCCTGGCAAATGCTGAAAACTCATACATTTTCCTCATTATCGCATTGCCGAATGATTTCGTCTGTTGCTAGTGTGATATCAGCAGTTTCAATAATAATGTCTTCTGATGGGTAATGATGGTAACGAACATTTTCCGTGGACACTCTTAGAAGGCGAAGAACTTTACCAGGTATAGATAGATATTTTTATATTTGTGACGTGTACTAAGTGTCAAAGAGGATAAATAAAGATCAGACGATTCCAGTGCACGGTGAAACAAGTATGTGATGATCGTTTTCCGTAAAATAAAATCGTTTACTTATCTCCACACATTATTAAGTAAAAAAACACGTGACACTGCAGCGCATCTACAGTGAGGCCCATTTACAATGGTCCAATTTTTTTTTTAAATAGAAGACATTGTAGTAACTCTTTTAAAAAAAACGTAAGTTCAGTTAAAATCAATATTTTAAAATTCTTCGATTTTCGCGATTGTTACACATTGAAAATAAAACTATTTTTCCGGATTTAAATCGCGTATATTTGTTTTTCATCACGGTTGACTCTGACTATGGGACCTGTAAAGGGCCTGAAACGTTGATTTGTTTGAAAAAACAAATATACGCGATTTAAGTCCGGAAAAATAGTTTATTTTTTTAATAGTTTAGAAGTTATGATTTTTTCATGTACTTTTTGAAAATTTTCTAACTTTGATTATTACTAGAGTATTAAAACCACTCTAGTTTGAAAACTATTCCACTAAATTAATTGAAATTTGCTATGGAAGTAGTGTGACCATGTAGCTATTATATAATAACCATTTTTGTGTTTGTAATATAAGCGTGTAATTTGAAGGCGCTTATTGTAAAACTACGAGTCTTAAAATTGTATGTGTTCCATCACTGTTACCTTATTACAATAGGTTTAAACCTGTGCGTTTGCCCTAGAATCACAATGCGTCCGTGGTCGGCGGGGTCGGTGTGCGTGCGCGTGTGCGTGTTCGCCCGCGCCGTTCGCGACTCGCCCCTTCGCTGCGACGTAGCGCTCACCGCCGCGCCGCTGCTCGTATGGGGCTGTCGCGGCACCGGCAAGGAACAACTCAACCAACCCGTCGCCGTTGCTAGGTAATCATTAGAACCAGTAGAACTTCTTGTAAGCGAGTTCGTCCAGAGAAGTACTGCCTTACATATTTCAACGGACCTCACGAATGTGCTTGTTGCAGACCTTTTTCTTTTTTGTTACTAACGACTTTTTTATGTCGTCGCGCCATCTGTGAGATAGTATGTTATTTTCAAAAAAGTTACATAATGACTTTTTTTATAATACCAAGTGACACGAACAAGTCGTGCGCCTGGTGGTAAGCGACACGCCTATTTATAACAGTTGCGGTGCCATTCGGAGCTTTAAATCGCAAAGATCTCATGGGCACTGCCACTACGCCGGTCACTCTGAGACATAAGTTGACAAGTCCCATGTGCTTGGAATTTCGCCAGCACCCTTCTAAACCAGAACGCAGTAATGCTCATGTTATTGCTGGGTGGCAGAAATAGGTAAGCTGGCAGTACATCCCTGGACGAACTCTTTCACAAGGACCTCTACTGCTACAAATATATGCTAGAAAGAAGGTGGCGGAAGAATTCATGCAATTCTGTCGCATACTCTCCGTGATATGTCCTGTAGAATACTGATAAGCAGACCGTTTTACAGCAGTGTTCAAGGGGTTTTTCACATATAAAGGAATTGTGATTTAGGTTTCTAATGATCTCTGAATAATGTTTCAGATGTCCTAAACGACGTGAAATCTACGTGCTGGACGCGGGTAACTCGAGAGTCAAAGTGCTAGACGAAGAAACATTCGCTTTCAAAAATCACATCGTCAATGAAGGTGAGATATTTTTATTAGGGTAATTTCGTAATTCGAATCCACACAAAGATACTCACTTTTTGCAAAAGTAGAGTAATTATTTATGGCTAAAGTGGTACTTCCTTTAGCGAGGTATGTAAATGATATCTTCGTGGTGCCCAGAATAGTTTTTTAGTCGGCGTCCAATTTTTTATTTATAAATACTTTCCAGTCTAGGCACTTGCCTAAAAAGGTTTGTTTGACTGTTAAAGCTCTTCTTCCATTCTATTATATTGTATTTTACAAATTCGATGTAATTGCTACATTCTTTATAAAGTTCATATATAATCTTATGTATGTACATAATAAAAAAGGTGAATTTACAGGCACATGGGACTTGGTCAACTTTATGGCTCAGGGTGACGGGCGAAGTGGCAGTGCCTCTCAGATCTTTGCGATTTAAAGCTCTAAGTGGCACTGCAACTGTTATGGACAGGAGTGTCGCTTACCACCAGACGCACGACTTGTTTGTCCCGTCACTTTGTATAGTAAAAAAAAGACAAAATAAAATAAAAATTAAGCAAACATCAAATTTTAAATAAACAACACAATTTGAATTACTGTCACGTGTGTGGCGTATTCAAAACGAATCATTCAACTAAATCCATAGCCGAGATTAGATTGTGCTGCTGGTTTTCAGGGGACCCTAAACCGATATAAACTAACCTCACTAATCTCACCTTTAATTTTTTTAATGTTTCAATATTTCAGGCTTAGCAGGGCGGAGTTGTACAGGCATCGCGGTTACGGCGGAAGGTGTTGTAGCCGTCAACTGGCGAACACGGACACTTACGGAGGTTAATATTGAGTATACATACTTCATAATATTGTATGGTATATAAATATGATTGAAATTATGTGACTTATTATTCGTAATCTTGTTTCCAGGTGAACATAGATGGCAGTACTTTGCGTACCATTCAGTCGGATAGACTTGTGGAGCCAGTATGCGTGGCGGCCGATAGTGCCACAAGGCGGTTGGCTGTCGCCGACAACGGAGCTCGTACTGTCTTCGTCTTTGACAGTCGTGGCAATCTTGAACTTGAGGTACGTATTTCATCTAAGTCATAGTAGAGTGGTCCGACAGACAAAAGTATCGACGACAACAGAGTCCGGAGTTCGCATTGTCTTAATTTTTAACACTCGGGATAATTTCGAACTTGTGTTACAGATTATATATGACTTATAATAATAGACCAATAAGTCAAGAAGACTACTGCCAATGGCCATACAAGACAGCGTAGTCGAGTATTTAGTACCTGTTGGTACACCAGATGTCGCGACGAGTACCAAGTAGCTATTTTTGTAACTAATTAGTTTTACATTGATAAGCTACAGTTTATCAAAGCTACTCTAATTTCTTACCATATTGAATTTTGACCTTTTTCAGAGTTACGATTTGTAGCATAAAGACGGCATGGAATCTCGTGAAAGAGTCCCATCAAACACATGTTTAATTTATTTAAAAAGTGATAGCGATGTACTTTACAATAATGGCGACAATTAAAAAGATATATTCCAATTTGTATTTTGGCGCGGTTGAAATGAAAATATTCATTGTAATATTTACCTAATTGAATATCATGATGTTTTTACTTATATTTCGTTTCAATCCATTTTAAACAAACAAGCCACTGACCGGACCATAGACGGTTTAGTGATGGCCAATATTACTGCCAACTACAAATCAATTAATTAATTGAATCAATTTGTTTAATTGAGTCATACTAGCGGTTTTCATTACATAACCTATAAAAGCTTATTTAAAATTTCCGAAATCTTAACTTTAAATCCTCCTTCAAATCCTTACACTAAGATACTCGTTTGATTGCGGTTGAAATTTTCTATTTGCTAATCGATTGAATGAATTGAATGTTTTTTCCGTACAGCACTGTGCAACCATAGACTATTCATACATCTTTGATTAAAAAAATAACCACTTTTTGACTACCATTTTTCAAATACGATTTTACAATGTTATTCAAATGAATATTGTTGGAAAAAGTGATGAAATATCCAGTCAAAGTCTTATATACGTGAAAGTGCTATTTATTTGATTTATTGAGTGATTACTTTAGAAATTAACCAAACAGTTTTGTTTACATTTCGTTTAAAATGGTTTGGAACAGACTATACAATACCATGATTTACTTTTTTTGTTGATAGAAAATACTCCAAACCAGGACCATTTCAGTTGTTAAACGGTGGCCCGGGTATGGCAACAGACGCTGGTTTTCGAATCCAGTCAGATCAAAGGAATTTTTCGTTGTGTTGTTCGATCTTTGTATCAATATATATATTGATTGTATTTCTTTATTTTCAGATTGGTAATGGTAATCTCGGCTTAGTGGGCGGCCTGGCACTGTCCGAAGACATGATCGTAGTAGCGGACATGGCTGTGAGAATATACGACGTAGAAGGCAATCTCAAAACGACGCTGGCACCTGTGCCAAAGGGTAACTTAATACTTTAACGCATTGGCACTTAATTTCAAACTTTAAAAAATTTGTTCATAAATAACTTGTTGAATTAGTAAGAAAAGAGTCGGCAGTCGGTAGTTTACGAAGTACTTACTGTTAAAAAAAACAACCTGTTGAGTAAATAAATAATTAAAAACTAGAATTTAGTAAAAAGCATTTAGCGTTAAATCCGTGTACGCTTTAAAGAAATGTTAATGGATTTATTGCCCTATTTATTAATTGTAATAGAAAGGATAAGCTGTTCCAGGAGATAACATTAATCGGAGCAAATATTTCTTTGACTTATACTCTTACCTCAGTTGAAAAAGTTTCGTGAAAATTGCCTTTTATCTTGTTGTCTGTATAATGTTTTTCAAAATCTGTTAATGCCAAGCGTAATATCTTCAAAATTCATGGACAAGCTTCTAGGATAATTTTCCTGTAGCTATGACGGTTAAGGTAGCTGCCCTTGCTGACTCATAAATAAATTATAGACACCTGAACATACTTTTTGATACTTGGTCTTTGATTTATTTTTGTAATCATCAAAAATCCTCCACTATTATTATTAATGACCAATTAGATATGGTACTTTCACACAGATCACAGAGATCTCGGACATTCATTAGAAACAATAAAATAGATCTAAGTAAATCATGTAAAAACACATTTAATTTAGAACTGCAGTCAAAAGTATAATGTCATAGAAAAAAACAATGACATAGAAACATGAAAAGATATTTAAATTTGAATTACAAAGTAACGCATATACTAAAAACGTTTGCTCTATTAAAAATATTTAACCTCCTTCAACAAATTTCCAGGTCGCGGCGGTTACGGAGGCATAGCGTTAGAGAACTCTGAAAATGGTTGGCGAATTGTATGCGCCCGTTCAGTTCGGGGTCGGCCAGCGCTCGTGGTCCTTGAGGCAAACAACAGCGGGCGGATTCTGGCTGCTTGCGAATTAGCCGACAAGAAACCCAGACGAGTCGCCGGCTTGACATTGCTGCCCAATAAAAGGGTGCTACTCGCCGATTTAGCGGGCGATTGTTTACGGCTCCACACTTATTGGTGAATGGTGAGTATTTCGCCTGAGATTTATAAACTTTGATTTCAACTAAGCTAAAAAATGGCAAGTTAAAAAGTTTTTCGTATTTACAAAACGTTCTTTGCTTAAAGTAAAGTGAGAGTGAGTGAAACCCAAAATAAACGACATTAAAAGATACGAATTCAACTTGTTTCGTAATTGATAATGAAAACAAAAGTTACCGGTAGTGAACTATATTACCAAAATAAACGACATTAAAAGATACGAATTCAACTTGTCTCTTAATTGATAATGATAACAAAAAATACCGGTCGTGAATTATATTCCCAAAATAAACGACATTAAAAGAAAAGAATTCAACTTGTTCTTTAATTGATAGTGGAAACAAAAGATATCAGTAGTGAACTATATCACCAAAATAAACGACATTAAAATATACGAATTCATCTGGTTTTTTATTGATAATGAATACAAAAAATACAGGTAGTGAATTATATTCCCAAAATAAACGACAATAAAAGATAAGAATTCAACTTGTTTTTTAATTGATAATGAAAACAACAGATACCAGTAGTGAACTATATTACCAAAATAAACGACATTAAAAAATAAGAATTCAAGTCGTTTTTTATTGATAATGAATACAAAAGATACAGGTACTGAACTATGGGGCCCGAAACGCGATTCACAAATGTAGCTCGATAAAAAAAAACAAAGTACCGCATTTTTTTTACTACGTTCATCTACGGATAAATCAGTTTCATTCGATTGTTATGGAAATTGAAATGTTGTTATATTTCAAATATGTCTATTTAAATACGTCAGGGAACTATGAGCTTAATTTACAGTTTCCAGAAAGCAAATGTTTAAATATCGTGTTATGAATTTCTCTCGTCTTAAGCAAGAAATTAAAGTAAATTTTGAGTTTATTTCGTAATTTTTTTTGCTTAGTTGAAGTCAAATTTTTTTTTATAAATCGCAGACTTTACACGGTAATTTATACTCTGGAATATAAAATTTATATCAGTTGATATATAATAATGTACATATCTATTATTTATTAGTTATTACGCGAGACCTACAAATACAACAGACAGTCTTAGGGTCGTATTCTAGAATTCTATTTAATGCTCAAGTCAGGATTTGAGTATGTCTTAAAGCACTCGAAATCAT